ATGGGTGCTGGCAGAGCAACTTTACCATAAGTTTTGAAAACCGAAGCTCCTTTATCTCACAGAATGCCTAAAGGATTGATGAAGTATAATATTAAATATCCCCTGTTCTGGACCGTTACCAAGGTTAAAAGCTCCAAGGAGTACAGAAATAATAAAAGAAGGAAAGATTAGGAAAGAGTACACTAGGGCAGCATCCTGCTTTACTTCCTACCTTTGCTTAAACTAAAGGTAATTTAGTTGCCTTGTTACAGAAAGAAGTAACCATGTTTGTCTTTCTCCTCTGTGTAAGTGTTGAATCTAGTGACTGATTTTGAAATAGGAGAAGTTATGAGCAATAATTAAACTCTTAAAAGTTGTGAACATAGGGGACAGAGATCTGCTGAATGACTTGGCTGCAGGAGGGGTGTCGGTGCGATCTGCCGTCTTACCAGGCGTTGGAGATCCCATAGAGGAGAGCTTATTCAAGAGCCACAGGCTGTGGAATGAGCTGCAGTTCAAACTCGTGCTGCTTGAGAAGCTAAACTCAGTCAAACATCAGCAGAAATCACAGATCTACTTATATTAGTTTGGGTGAGAAATTTTTTTTAATGCTGTTCTTTATTTTAAAAATACTGAATGGTGTAATGGGATGCTTTCTTACAATGACATGTTAAACAAAATCTGGGAGAAATGTAGAATATGTCTGGTGATCGCAGCATGGATGTTAGTTACCCTCACTTCAGACCCTAGAACTGGTAGAAAATAGAAAGAGAGCTTTACGTATGAAGAAAAGAGTTATTATCAAACTAATAAGTTTCTTTTTTTGGTTAAAACCCAACTCATCTGTCCCTTATTGTTAGCAGTGGTTAGGTGGAAATACGAATCTTGGTGCTTTCCAAAGCATTAAGACTTTTAAATCAAATAATAATGATTTAGAATAGACTTAAAGCAGGAGACTTATAGTTAAGAAAGTAAACTTACATGTTTATGGAGGAAAAACATAGTAACGGTATCAGAAGATGATGGGGCATTTGGAGCTTGGCCTGCCAAACAATTTAGTTGTTGTAAATTTAACAGCTACATGCCCTGTGCATGTAGTTCTGTGAGATGTTCTGAAGAACTGCTTGTAGAGTTTTTCATCAGGAGTATTAGAAGAACACTTCTCCACTCAAGCATCTTCCTGTTGGGCTATGACTAGTGGGGGAAATACTTGAGGAAGAGGTGGAATTGATTAAGAATGGACCTTTAGCAAGAATATTGTAGAAGGTAGAAAGTTAAACCTGCTGGAAGATTGCTGATGGAAAGGCCAAAGTGACAGAAGAATTAGCAATGAGTAGTAAGTGAGGGAAAGCAAGTATCAAGAGGTGATGGTCAGCAGTATCAAAGTTGGAAATAGAGGTTTGGAGGTGTTAGGATGCAGTGGTGGTTGACACATCTGTGCATGTGTATGTGAGTATCAAAATATAAAGATTGGATCTGGAGCTAATAGAGATGGAATTCATTGACATTGGAGGAAAAAAAAACCTGAATTTTCTTACTGTCTTTAAACCGTTCTGAAGACTAGATGATGATTTTCTGTGTATGTAAAAGTGAAAGTATGCCAAAAAGACCATTACTATACAAATTTAATATGCCGATTACTTAAGGTCTTGGTTTTTTCTTCTGAAGTAATGGCTTGTGTCAATCACTGTGTCTTGTGTTTGATGTCACGTGATTTTTTTCACTAACTATGGAATCAGAGTTCTAAATCTACAAAATGTTTGTGCGAAGGCACCTTTTTTTTTCCTGCTTTTACTTACTATGAAGTTGTGGGTTTTTTCCCATAGTCACTTTGTTGCCATTCTAAGTTTCTATCACTTAGCACAGAAGTAACCTTTTGTCTTTTTCAGGAGAAATTTGTTGTGCGCAATTTGGTACTAAAGTAATGAATGTACTGTTAATTGGCTGTAATGAGGTACGCTGCTAACAGAATTCTGTATGTAAGAGCAATATGTCTCCTGCTCCTTGAGAAAGGGACATTCAAACTGCTGCCTCCTGCGTTTTTCATTTTCAGCAGTGCACAGAACCTGTTCTGACCAATCATTCACACCTGGGACAGTTGTGCTAATTTTTGAATAACTCCTCATAAGGCAAAGAGCAAAGTATTTTGTTCACAGCTTTTCCACCTAGGGATCGGAGGTCCGTTTTTTCTCTCGCTCTACCGGTGTATCTGCAAAGTACTCCCATAGCCTTTCTCTGCAAGTCCGCTTTAGCTGAAAGCTGATGAAGCAAAGGGAAATTGCTGTTTGTGTTGGTGCCAGTTAATCATGCTAGCCCAGCAGCATTTACATTCACACCGCGGTAAGAAACACAGAGTTAATTGGAGAAGTGGCCGTATTTTACAGCTGAGCATCGCGGCAAGGCTGACTCATGGAAACTTAACTGACTCTTAGCCCTTACGGCTCATAACCGGTTTGTACCCAGGGCAATACTGGTCAGTTTTTATTTGACCCATTCTGGTAAGAGCGTTCTTTGGATTTGTGTTTCGGGCTGGGAGGAGGCAGGGCACGGTGGCTGGGTGACTTGTGTTACAAAATAGGGTAGTGAAGGAAGGCGCTGCGAAGAAGCCGTCGGGGTCTGGATGTGCTTTGTTTGGGGTTTTGTTCGCGAGAGCTGCATTTAATACGCAAAGTCAGAATTACGTATGCATTTCTGTTTTCCATATTATAGAAATTGCAGAAAATCCTTAGAAACTGTAGAATAACAAAGGTGGAGAAAATTATTCTTTATTCTTTTCACAGGGGCCACCAACAGACGCTCCTGCGGTTGATACAGCGGAACAGGTTTATATCTCGTCCCTTGCGCTGCTGAAAGTAAGTGTTCTGGGTACTACCTCTGTGAATAGTGCTGGACGTAGAGCACCTGGCACCTTTCCAAAGCTTGTGGACTTGTGCTCCTTAAGTGTTGATCAGGCTAATTTTTAAAATAAATGAATACTCAGAGTAAGAAACTTATTTTAATTACTTTTTTGTTGGCTTCATTTTTACTCTTTTATAATTCCATACAGTTTCTGAAAGTGCTACAAGTTGCAAACTACCCCTAGATCAACAAAGGCTGAAAGAACTATCCTAAGTCAAACTTGAACCTCCTGTTAAACGTACGGTGTCACTTGGTCTTAATTCCAGATGTTGAAGCATGGTCGTGCTGGTGTCCCTATGGAAGTTATGGGTCTGATGCTCGGGGAATTCGTTGATGATTACACTGTGAGAGTGATTGATGTTTTTGCAATGCCACAGTCGGGAACGGTGAGTTCTTTGCAGCTAGACCTTGATATATATTTTTGCTTGTTTGGTGTTTTACTATGGTAAATATATTTTAAAAGGTTTTCCTTCTTTACCTTATTTATGTAATCTTAACCTACTAGGTATAATTTGAACATATTTGATGGATTTAAGGCTTTCAGTAAAGGAAAATTGCTTAAACTTTTATTTTTTTAAGCAAAGACTAGTACATAAACGTATATATTGATGTATGGAGATGTTGTATCTTAACGTATACATAAATATATTGGTATAACTTCACTTACAAGATTTATAAATTGATTACTTTAAGAACTGATATACTATGAGCCAGGGGAAGGATTCAAAATGCAGAAGGTTTGATTAGAAGTGTATCGTGCCCTTAATTGCGATGGTGCGATAGATATACGTCAAACTTGCTCTCCTTGTCAGATCTTACAGTGGCAGTCTCTTAAATGATATTTCTGTAATGTGAAAAAAGGAGGTATTTTAATTTTGAGTAAGAATATTAATCTTATGAAGAGATATTTTAAAGAGATGATGAACCGGTGGGTATAATTGGAATTGATGATGGTTTTTTGTGTGTAGCTTGAATTAAATATACTTCTTAAGAAGCACGTATCCCATTGTAATTGAGCTGCACATCAATGAATTTGAAAAATTCTATTGTCCCGAGTTAATTCTGTGCACATGCATAGTATAAGTATGATCTGCAAAAAGACAGTTTGTGATATTTATTTTGAATAAAACCTGTAGTGCTGAACTTGTGAGAAACAGCAGGCCAGAGACTGCAGAACAAGAAGAGGAGAAGATGAATTCCTATGCCTGTTTAATCATGTTTACTTGTCACAGAGATAACTTAAATAGCAATTCAAAATCTTCCTTCAGTGTTTTAAAAATCACATTGAAATACTTCTAAAAATTGTATCGTACTTTTAGGGGTATTTTATCAGCTATTTCTAAATTAGTCAAATTGTCCTTTTAAACAGGTCCTTGTGCATGGTGTTTAAATGTTCCCTTGTGGAAGGTAACAAATTAAAAGATGATATTGCTTTATGTACAACTACTGTGATGTTTGTCTTCTACACCAGGGTGTCAGTGTGGAGGCAGTTGATCCTGTATTTCAAGCAAAAATGTTGGATATGCTGAAACAGACGGGAAGGTAAGTCGTCCTAAAGAGGGCTGACAGTGACAAGTTCTCCCTGCATGTTGTTTAAAAGAAACAGCTGACTTCCTGCAAAACTAGTGATGTAGGAGCTATTAGTAATGTTTAATAAAAAAATAACTGGCCTAGAAATCAGTGTAGCAGGTAATTCAGTCATTATTGCACAGGAAAATCAGAATGCAGCTCAATTTGGTATAGGCACTTACAAGGCAGTACCTGCTTAAAAGATTGATTTTTGCATTTCTTTTAATTCAGATTTAGAAATACAAATTTGTAGCTTGTTTATGAGCAATTTTAATGAAAAGAAAGGGGAAACAACTTTGTAAAAGATCCTAGTGTTTAAACAAATTTTCATTTCACTCCTGCCTCTCAACAGTTGTCGTCTCCTTGCTCGGATTCTTTTACTGTGGGAAAAACTTCAAAATTAATGTTAGCAAAAGGCTCAGCAGCTGAACAGAACAGTGCAAATTGCTTTTTGACTGAGTTCCTAGTTCTACTGCTGGTTTAATTGATATTTAATCCTTTCCCACCGTTGATTCCTGTTGTCCATGTCTGAAATGGACTTTCTGTCGTGAAAATTCAACCCTCGATGCCAAGGAGTTAAAGAGTAGATATTTACTCAAGTGCTGAAAGGGTAAAAACTGGTGCAGGGAAGGTGTGGTAACAGGGTGAAAAACTGAAAGCATTATCTTCTGCTGCTAATGTGCATCCCTTAATGATAGCCCTCTTTTGTCTCATTTATTCATGTCCGTGTTTTCACCATAGTATGGTGAGTAATTTAAATATTTCTAACTGTGTTTTTTCACAGCCCATCCTAATTATGCCCTGATACATTACTATTTCTTCTTGTGTTACGTGTTTTTTATTTTTAAGGATCTCAATATCCTCTTTGTTTCAGACCTGAGATGGTAGTTGGTTGGTATCATAGTCACCCTGGCTTTGGCTGCTGGTTGTCTGGTGTAGATATCAATACTCAGCAGAGCTTTGAAGCCTTATCAGAAAGAGCTGTTGCTGTGGTGGTGGATCCCATTCAGAGTGTAAAAGGAAAGGTATGATGGGCTTGCTTTTTTTTTTTTTAAAAAAAAAATTTTTTAAAGGTATTTTGGTAAGATGTCATATAGAAGCACTGTAAATATGTGCTTTCTGCATTAAAAATTAATGTCATTGTAAATGAAAATATAATTTTTAATCTGCATCTTACGTGAGTAGTCCTTAAACAGGCTGGAAGTGTTTGATACTGTCAGTACACATAACCAATCATAATCCTCCCGTAATATTTTGCTACTCAGGTGTCACTCAACGTGTTTGCAACTAATAAAGCAAGTATACATTGTTTCAGGTATTACATTTTGGCTACAAAAACGAAGATCAATTACTAGCAGATTGGAATAGGTTCAGGTCCCTAATGTGAGTATTAACTAAGGCAGCATTGATTTATAGGCGTTGCATATGATGGCTTTTAGTATCATTTCTGTTCCAAATGTTTTGGGCAATAAAACTTTACTGAAGACTTGGTATCAAGCGTTTGAGTTTTTGAGAAGTGTGCAGGTAAATGATTAAATATGTTAAATGATTATGAAAAGAGATTAACTTGCAAAGCATATTGGGTTATAGTTGTCCTTTGTTGAAATCTCTTTTGTTCTTGTTTAGTTCTCTTTTTATTTCTTTCTAGCCCCATATGCCATTTTCCTATTTCCTGCCTCATGACAGCAGGGAGCAGCTCTATTATCACCTTCACAGAGCTGTCTGCAAATGTGAGAGGCAATTCGATTTTGCTCAACCACAGGGAGAGTGGATTAGAAAAACTGAACGTACAGAAATTGGCTGGGTGGTTTGCTGCTTTAAAATACTGCTGAGGTGTTTTGTTTGAGCATGCACTCCCATTGTATTGTAGAATAATTATTGAAATGCATCATGGTATGGATGGATAATATTAATGTAAATTTATAAATATTTAAAAAGTAAGCTTTCATCGTCTGTAAAGCTGTAGTATCATATTTTATGTGAAACAGATCATATTAAAGCCACCAAACAATTACACTAAGGGCTCCTTGAATTTCATAATACAATATTGTACAGCTACAGTTGTATTTTCCATAGTGATTTTTTATTGTTCTGATTTTTATTTCAAATTTATGTAACAAGCAATTCAGAAATTAATAACTTCTGGTTGTTTGGAAGCTGTTAGACATCTGAATCCATTTTACTCCCACTTAAATTGCATAGAGAAGAAGAAATTTTAGGTAGAGTTTTTTGGGGGAGAAAAAAGGTGCAGTAAAATATTTAATTACTCCTTACTTATTTTTTTCTAAACCCTTTTTCCTTTATTTTCCTACTCCAAGAGGAATGCTGAAACTGAATTGAATTTTTGTGCAAATACAATTTGCAGGACTATACTAGTAATTCATTTTGGCCTCACTAGCTATTCTGTTGAGGAGAAAAGCCTGCAAGTCACACTACTGTTATAACACACTTGGTTACTAAGTGCCTTTATATTTTTTAACAACTTTTTTCCACTGTTCTTTGACAAAGATATCATCTGTGAGGGTCTTTGTTCTCTTCAGGAAATAATCTTTGGCATAGTTATTTTGAACGTGAATAAATTTTTATTCATCTATACATTTCTGGAATTTTAGTCCATCTAAATATTTCTCAAATACAGCTCTTTACGGCATTACTGCCAGTACTTGAGATCACTGGAAGTCTTATAATGTTTGTTTTTCATACATGTCTGGCTGCTACAGTCAGATTAAATTACATTCTCAGGTTTCACATTAAAAAAAAGTTTACATCTGTCATGTTTCTGGCAAGTGCATCCTTAAAAGCTTAGAAATGGAAAGAATCCTCCAAAGTATGAATAGTACTTCTAATTAATTTCTTGATTTTGGGGCTGTGGAATGTGTATGACTTTTTTATGATGCTGGTTGGCAAGATCACTTAAGTTAGAAAGTATTTTGATTTTTAGCTGAACTGAGAGAAGCACTGATTTGTTGGAGCTCAAGGGGCTTTCTTAGGTGAGGTCTGACTGCCTTAGTCTGGCGTCCAGCACCACTTTACCTGCTGGAGAGCTGGAGCTCAGGTGATTCCCGGGCGGTACCTGCTTTCTGGCAGCGCCAGCCAGAGGAGCTGCTCACAGAGGGGACTTGCTGGTGCGGCAGCCGCTGTGCTGCTGGGCTTTGGTGGCTCTGAGAGCCCAAGACCATCACTCGCTACACCTTCTACTAGCAAAACCGTCTGGCAAAAAAATAGAGTGAACATGTGGCATATAAGATTTTAATATGGTGTGTTTTGACTGAGACGAGATGTATTTAAAAACAAAGTCCAAAATAACACATTAGCTAATTTTAAACCTGCCTCGGGGCAGGTCCATGCCCATATAAATTGCTGTGGCTTATAGTCAGTGAAGCAGTCATGGCTGTGCCAGTGAAGAATAGCTGGGGCAGAGGTTATTTTCATGTGTCAGAAGGTTGAAATGAATTCTGATGAGGAGCCTAAGGTTCACCTCGACAAGATAAAGCATTAAAAAGCAGTTTGCCCTATCACTGGTAGAAAGCAGAAACTTGTTAGCTGTCCTTGTCTGGGTACATGTGTTCCAAACACCTAGTAGAATGAGGGTGTATGATTGCAATTTAAAGACAAAAATACACATAATTCTAATCAGTTAAAAAAAAAAAAAGTCAAAAAAAGGCATTTTGTGTCTTAAAGCCAATGAGCAAAAATAAAAAGGCGTATAAAATCCTTACCTAAAAGTAAAACCCTCATATGGACCTGTCGATTGAATACCAAGTGCTTTAATGGTCACTTTAGGACTGGGATACTATTACCTAAATATAGTAGCGCACATGAAGGACAAGTCCTAAATACTGATCTTATTACTTTACATACATGTTCTTGCACATGTAGTGTGCTTTTTCCTCACTACATGCTATATAATTCAGTTTTTAGACTAGTAATGTTCTAGCTGTCTGTAAAATCAACTCACAACTGGTCAGTGAATGTTGTCAGAACCCAGAGAGAAAAGTTGTTTTGGCTCTTTTTTTTCTTTTTAAAATGATTTAAATTGATTTCTATGAATGAAGTCAAAGTAAACATGCTGAGATATGGCTAGTGGGGCAACGTGGCTAGCTGTTGCTTCATCTTGGACTTCCTAATAAACCTTTCTTCTGTCCCCTCCAGTTTTCCAGTCTGTGCAATGGAAGTTGTAATATATATTTAGAATATTCCTCAAAAGTAGTAATTTCATTAAAGATCTGGAATAAAGCTAAATATTGACGTTTCATATTTATTTCCAACATACGTTTTGGAATGTCTACACGGAGAACTAAATACCTTTGCCAAACGTTTAAAATTTAGGTTTTGGACCTTAACTTAGCAGCCGTTCCTCACCTCTTAAGGAAAATAGAATTATACTAAACCACTGTAAGATATCTTTAATGCCACAAGCATTAACTTACTATATTCCACTCATATGTTAAATTAAGAAAAAAATGGTCATTTTTTGAACTGTTTTAAGCTTTAAGTCTTTATTAGGAAAAAAAATCACAATTTAAAATGACTTGTTTTTCTCGGGCAGTTCATTGGTTTCTCTTGATTAATAATTGCTGGCATGAGGGTTGATAAAATACCCCAAATTGTCAGAAATTCATTTTGTACATCTGAGAAGTTCGTGTCTGTTACACCATAATTTTTCCTAGCAAGGCACTGTCAGAATTAATTCTTGTTTTATGGCAAAAATCTTTTTTTCCTAATTATTTGCTGAGGAAAAGACTTGACTCTGCAGTAACTTTTTATAAATTCTATTTTGCATGTTAATCCCCTGCTGACAGATAAAAACAAAGATGCTTGTGCTTAAACCATATCCCATATCCTGCCACTTTTATAAGAGATTTTTGCTATATTCTATCCTTATCTTAACCTCATTCAGAGGGTGCAAGTTAAAAGAAAAAAAAGTACGTTTGGATGACCAGGTAGATAAAAATAATTTCCGTTGTAAAAGATCTTGGGAGGTCACCTAGTGTGACTTTGTGCCGAGCACGGTGTCAACATTGGGTTCAAACCAGCTCTCTGAGGGGTTTGTCCACCTGAGTCCTGAGATGCAGCAGCCTCGTGGGAATTCTTGGTCCAGTACTTCTATTTTTGCAGGTTTTTTTTTTTCCCCTTGTGTACAGTCAGCAGCTCCCCCTTGCAGTTTGTTCCTGCTGTCTCCTGCCACTTACATCATTCAAGAACTTTGCTCTGTGGTTCAGGTACCTCTTCTGGAATTGGAAGGTTTGATACTTCAAATTGTAGCCAGAATTTGGGCTGCAGTCTAAAACTATTTTGTTCAAGCAGTTTCTTTTTAGTGGAAGTCATAAACTGCTTTCTTTTTGTTCAGTTTATGAGATCCTCAGAATTTTATTCTAAAAGCAGTAACAGATATGATGAACTTTATAATTTGTTCTTTTACCCATTTTTAAAGTATTAAAAAATTATTCTTATCATGCTCCTAGAAGTTCCAAAGAGGGACAGTTATACTATATTTATTTAATTTTTAAAGTATTATTTGTCCCAAAACAGCTATTATCTGGAGAGAGGGAGAGAAAGATGATGTTTTTATTCTTGTACAGATGAATTGCTGATGAGAAGAGAGCGTAGCTGAGTTGCTGCTGGAGGTCCATAGCAAAGTTGTGTCTGACCAAAGCCAAGGTCATCTTGAGCAAGGTGAAAGTCTCAAGGTCCTTTAGAGCTGTTAAGAAAGAAAAATAATATCTTTAAATACTCTAATTGCTATTTAGAGTGGCAGAGCATTATAGGCCTGTTGTAAAAGCGTGATGGCTCAAATACCGTACTTTGAAATTTTGTAGTATTCCAGCATGTTCTTAATTCTTATTGTGCTGGTGGGATTTTATGCAGTTTTCAAAACAGACAAAATTTATGTAGGCAGGGGATAAAAGGACACCATGAAACCAACAGATCATGTGATTGGACAGAGCTTTGTTTTTCATTTGCTGGATGACCCGTTCTGGCAACCTCTTCTCTAAAACACTCCTCTTCCTCTTTTTTTTGCCCA